AATGCTGTTCTAGGTATCATCATAAACAATATATAATAAATGAACTGTAGCTGTAAATAAATTTGAACATTATGTGCAATAAAGTACTAATTTTTGTGACATTTTCTGAAGGCTTGAAACCAGTCATTATTGGCCCAAACTATGTGACGGTGGGTGTGCCAAGCAGCATTGAGTGCGGTTCCAGTTGTGGGACATGTACCTACTCCATGTCTCTGGATGGACAAAGTGCCGTGGGTCAAAGCAACATGCTAGCCTTTACTATTAATAGTTGGGTACCTTCTTTAACAGTGACATGTACAGTCTCAGGCGACAACGGGCTGAGTGCTACGGCAACAAAGAACATCCAGGTTTTAGGTATGAGCTTGTTAGATCTTTTACAAAACTAGGAGCATTTCACTGAGTTATTGTCATGTGAAAAATTACGGACACTAGCCCATACTGGTTCCACTAATGAAAAATATATTTTTTTCTATTATAGCTGGACCTACCAATGTTTCCATTTCAGGCCCCAGTTTGATGAATCCCACAGTGAGCCATACCTATAATTGCTATGCGTACTGTCAGCCATCCTGCTACTACAGCTGGAGGACAGATAAAGGCCCATGGATCCGTAGTCAAGGAAATGTTGTTTCTATCACTCCTCGGGAGATGGACACCTCCAAAACTGTCACCTGCAAAGCCACCAATCGCATGTCTGGGCTGTTTGCCACTGCTACTCAAAACATAGCTGTGACATGTAAGTCAAGATTTGGAGACAAATGCAAAACTGGGAGCAAATACCTTTACACAAAGATTATTTGACTAATAAAAGAGGGATATGGTCATAACTACTTCTTAAGTTCCAGTAATTTTTTTTAAATAGAAGAAATCTGGAAGTTGAATATTTAAAGAAGATTGTTACAGATGGTTAGCCTGCCAAAGCAGAACTGCAAGCCTTTCATTTGCTAACTCTAAAGTTTATAGGTTTAGATATTTTGTACCATATTTAATCTTCTACAAAAACAGAAGTGTCAAAGGGACTTGTTTTATGTAGTGATGCACCAATTCATTTTTTTCTAAGAACCATAACTGACAGTATAGACAAAAAAAATTTTTCTTCAATGCAAAACTATTAGGTTCATAATAAATATTTACTCCAAACTGCAGTAAGTTCTAATATGTTACCACACTTAAACAACTTCAAACAAAATCACCTACTACTGGAAAGAGCTACAAATGATGAAAAAATGTTTTTCAGATATTAAAATAGTTGTTGTACATCCCATTTTACCTTACATATTCAACCATACCGAACAAAAGCAAGAGATTTGTGTACCAAAAGTTGCACTGATCCTCTTTATTCATCTCACAACTGCTTTGATGCTTTTCTTTTACCAACCCTGCTGGCTGGCTCTGACCCATGGGTAGTAAATTTGTATCTAAGAATTATAAATGGCTAACAATAACCATTTATATGTGTCCCAAAACATAGGCTGTATCCTTTGGAGGCTGCATTTGAAGACCGATTACGTCACAGCCAGGCGACGAGGG